CTACTTGAATAATAATCTTTTCCCTGGCGTTCTAAGAAAAGAGTAAATAATTATGCTTTGCTGTGCTGTGAACATCGTAATAAAAAGTTAGTTTTCACAAAAGCGTTCATTTTATGCAAAGCACCTTTCCATTAGTTGTATGTGCTGTAATGGGTGCTGCTTTGCTGAATGTGCCGGCAACTTATATTATACCAAAATATGCATGACATTGCTCAGAGCATACGAAGTCTCAAGCTTCATGGTGCATTAAACTAACCTTTATTACAAATATGAAAAAAGAAACTTTCACATTATTTCTGTTTTCCCCCTTGGCATGCTTAGTTTTACGCTTAGAAATGTTTTCTCTTTCTTTCTTAAAACATGTATTTTAACGATGTTTTCGCTTTTGTTGATGCCGAAAGTTAAAGGCAAATCAGTGTGCTTCAATAAATATCACATATGAGCTTATACTGTAGTATTGTGTAAAGGTAAGGAAAATATTGCAGTAAAAACTGACATAATAGTGCAAGAACGATGTTACGAAAATTCAAATAACATGCTAGTCATAATTTTGAGGTAAACAACCGCAGTGGTTTGTTTTGTTCAAAAATCTGCAATAGTTTTGCTAAACTTGAATTTCTGAAGGGCATTTTTATCGTGACTTTGATCCAATCATATAGTATTGTTACTATTGTTTTACCCACATTTATGTATAACTTTCGAACACTCTGGAAATTATCACCCTCCTAAGAATTAGAAGAAATTATAATTGTGCCAGCATATGTTAGTTGAAAACTTATCGTGTTTTGTTTAAGGAAATCCGTAACTAATTCTCAACAGAATTAATAAATGAATGCAGAAGTAGAAAATGAGTCTTGTATCTGACATACACCTTGCATTTTCTTCCTACACATAGCTTGGAACAAAACCCCCTCTCAATCAGAATAGAGGAATGCAAACATTGGTCACTCACCATTATATAAATATGAGAAACCCAAACGATGAGTTATTCCCTTGAAAAACAAGCATAGGACCCTTTCTTTGCCTACAGATTGAACTCGAAACCTAAGATCTGAATAATTATTCTATATTTTTTTTTCTGCTGTACTCATTTATTTTTACTGAATGGCTTTTACATCTCGTCTTATTTCATGGTATAAATGAACCTAGGTTGATTTGTATAGCTTTAAATACTCTGTTTTTCTGCGATTTCCTTGAGCGTTATGATCTTGATAGCAGCTAAAGAGAATGACTTGATCTACAAACGTATCATTGTTTTACATATTAAAACAATACTCTCAAACAATAATTTATTGCAAATTTTATTCTTCACAACTATTATAAGCGAAATAAATTATGAAATAAGTACGCAATCTGTAACTAAAAATTTAAAATTCTAATGAAAATATCTCGTATTCAACGCTAACTAACAGCGATTATGATGAACCGTATTTAAAGTACATTAAAAAGATAATGAAAAATGAAACTGTTGTTATCTTTCAGGCATCAATCTAAGCATATTTTGAGGTTGTTATAAAGAATGTTTGCAATGAAATTTTTTTAGCGATCTTTGTTGAAAGAAATAAAAAAAAATAACAAGGCTGATTTCCCAATTTTATCGAGGAAGCGAATTAAAAACAATAAAAATTTCTTTTAACTGACGTTAAGTCAGATTTTTTTTCACTACTGCTGTTCTCCACTATTTATAATACCTCTTAAACTTACAAATTGAGGTTAAAGCTATTTGTAATATTTTGTAAGAAATTTCAGGAAAACTGAATTTCGCATAGATTTTTCCCCGCTGAAACTAATATTATGCTAGTGTATTCTGTATTTAATTCTAATTTATTTTTTCATTTTTTAAAATTAATTAACCTTTTTAGTAGACTAATCATGTAAGAATGACTCATAAAAAAAGGACATTTGCAGTTGTCATTTCTGAAGACGCTGTGTAGTTTATTAGTAAATTCAGTTGATTTTTTTCATCTTGACTGCTTGGATTTAATCAAATCAATCTCATACGTATAATTAATAGATACTGAGATTTTGATTCTTGTTTTTGAGAGATTCTACATTTTTACCTGGTTCATCACATGTTAGAATATTTTCTGAATTTTTTCCCACAAGAAACTGTTGCCAAAAAAAGATAATACAGTTTGATTATTACTTTGTTCTGTGAAACGAAAAATGCATTTCCTTATTTATAAGTAGTACAGAAATATCTTTCTGCTGAAAATTGCATATATTATTCCTCAGAATGGTAGAAGAAATATTAGTATTTAACTTAGCCTTCGCAACAAAATGATGCAACATATTTAATTCTAACATATGTGATCCAATTACTGAATAGAAGGTTATGTTAACTAATAAGGTATGTTCTATGACATCTATACACGATAAAAATTCAAATCCGATCTACTTGAACATTTTCTTACTGTTCTTATCCTTGCAAATAATTTTTCTCCAGAAGAAAAAGGTTAAGTTAAGGAAGGAGACATGCTTTACATTTGCGTGTAATTCCCTTAAGTAATGTCAAAAATTACAGCAGGCAGTCTTCCCAGTGCATCATAATATTATGTTACAATTTTTAGTTTATTATTTATGGATATTTTCGTTTACTCAATAAAGCATGGTAAGTAATCAACATTATCGATTAGAAAATTTGTTCCAAATAACTTTATATCGATATAGTTTCAAAAATGATTAGAATTTGCTTGATATTATATGATTCTGGGCATTTTTTGATGGCTAGACTACTACAGACTCTTAGTATCAAGAATTGAGTAGAGTCTAAATGTCTTTTTAGTTCTAAGTTCTCTGCTGACTGACCCGAATTACCGTAAATATTCCAAATATTCCCTACTATTCATAAGTTAACGGTTTGTAGTTCAAAAATACATTTATTACTTTCTCTGATAACAGTGTGATTAATCATTTAAAATCTGAAATATCAATTCCTGCGTTCTTGTGCTTATCCCCAAAAATGATGAGAAATACATCTTCTTTTGTTTTTAATTAAGAGGTGCACGACTTTAAGCCTGAAAAATTTATCACAGATGCGTTTATGTCATTTTCCAGCATGAAAAGTATTTCTGCAAATGGAATTTTCACCATAAAAATTACCTTTGAAGCAGCTGAATACCTTTAACTGAGACATCATATTATAATTATTTTCGTCTTGTATCAATCTTAAAAATCATGATATCAATCTTAAAAATCTTCACAGTCTTATAATTTTTTTATTTGAATTAAATGCCTATTCATTATGCTATTACAATTTCAAGAACAAAATGTGTATTAAGTACTGGTTTCATTTATGATTTCTGATCATCTTTCCTTTTACTTTTATGTGATCCATAGGAATCCTAAATATGTTATATGTAACAGCATCAGAAGGGAATATTAAATTTTATGAACATGCGTAAAATCTATGTTAAAAAATTATACGAATATAATGTTTTTAATACGAAACTGTGTGGAAATGCCTACACTGACCAAAATGGATAAATCAAAAATAAACCACAAAACGAAACACAAGTTTATATGCTTAAGTTTTTGGCTACTTATTTCCTTTTAAGGTCATCACAATTTGCTTTGAATCATACATTTTCTCTTTTAATAATAATAAACTTTTAATAATTTTTACTACTTTTTGTGTAAATTATGCTCATTTATATATAAACTTCTATTGGAAATTGTTAAAAAGTTTTTAAAAAACTATATGATTGAATTTGGTGTATATTTTTGGATTTTGTACTATACGATTACATTCAAATGTATTTAATTTAAGCTTTGTAAAGTCATTAGGTTTTTTTTCCCTTGAAGCAGTAGACGTGAAATATGTGCAGTGCCTTCGCCGGAACTCAAACCCTGGACATCTCGAATGCGCATCGAGTACGTTTCCAATTACACGAAGGCATTCGGAAAGGAGGGAGGAAATACCTTATATACTCTACCTTTTAAAGGGCTACTGGGGATAGGAGGACCTAATCGCCAAATAGTGGTGGTCACGCATTATTGTCTATCACGTTTTAGTCTTTGTCCCGTTTTGTTTCTAAGCCTTCAACACCAATTGATAATAAAATAAATACAAAAACACTAAAATATTTGTTGGCATTTCTGCTTGACGATAGAGTTAAAGAGAGTATCAGAACTTAGCTGAATGTGGCGTGATAATGCAGTAGTAGCTCAATACTTGCGAATTAAAATATGCACTAAGAAATGGCTCCTATGCTAATGCGCCTTCTCAAGTGACTCCATGTGAAGAGGTAACCCACCAGCATTCAACACTCCCAACGTAAAAAGGATGAATTAGCGCACTCCGGAGTTAAGTTGCCAAAACGTTCTCAGTTCTAAACTTAGATTCTCGATCGCTATTTAGAATCATTTAATTTTCATTTTCTAGTGGAGTATACTAAACAGTAGAAGTACAGAAAAGATTCAGCGTAAAAATTGAAGTTTAACCAAAATAAACCTTACGATACTTATTACGTTTTTATCTTAGTTACATGCATATCTGTAATTTTCCCGTTTAACAACAGTTTTCTAATTGCTTAGTTTCGGGTGTATTTATTAACCAAGCAAATTCAAATATCTGTTGTAAAAGTTATAAGGTATTTCTTCCGCTTTCCTAGCGTGCCTATGTGGTGTAGTGGTTTGCACACTAGGCTGGTTTTCCAGAGGTCCGTGGTTCAATTCCCGGCGAAGGCGATTGCTCATTTTTCATCTTGCCTGCTTCCAAAAAATACCTAATGTCTCTACAAAGTGACTGATAAATAGAGTATTTGAATATATTCCTAGTTTTGAAATCGGTATCCTTTTATTTTATGAGACAATTGCTTTTATGATTTTAGAATTATATTTATTTTTTTAATCAAATGACATTTTTACCGTGCTTTTAAGTTTTTAATTGTTTATTACTATGAGTTAATTAATAATAACGTACTTCCGTTGTTCCGTATTTAAATATATGTCTGAAAACTATATGTAATAAAATTCTAAATATTTCTTTCTGTTCTTAGAATAGTATATGCTATGCAGCCAGTAGTGCATCACGTTGAGATGTGCTGTCGTGATGGGAGAAGTACACTAGCATCACTCAAAAATTATGGGTTTAGACTTCACGCAGAGCGTGTTACACATTTCTGCAAGCAATGGGTCTTCAAAGTGGGGGATGTTTTCTTCGTAATCACCGAAAGACAAGAGAATTATGCAAAGCATAGCATATGGAGGGAAAATACAGTTCGAGCTGAGCCTTTTACAGTAATGTGTTGCGAAGACAAGAGTACTCATGAAGTGGATACTGTTTTCAACGTGGCTCTTTCCGTAAAAAATGTGAAACATGTTACAAGAAGAGTTAGGTCCCTTGGAGCTTCAGTAATTCAGCCACCAACATCAGTCAAAGATGAAAACGGTTATGTTACTTACTCTATTATTCGTTCCTGCTGCGGTAATGTCGTGCACACGTTAATTAATAAAGATGATTATAGAGGGCATTTTTTGCCTGGATTTGAAACTGTACATACTATTATTGAAGATTCCTGTGTGACTACAGGGGTCACGCATATAGATCACGTAACGTTAGCTTGCTTTCCTGGTGATTCCTCGAGTGTTATAAGTTGGTATGAGTCTTGTTTTGGAATGCAACGTTTTAGCATCAGCAGGTAAGTTTTCATTTTTTACAAATAATGATTTTTAAATTGTATGAAAAGTAAATTCCTTTCAAAGAGTAAAATTGAATGCTGATAATTGTCAGCTGATACTGCTTCCTGTATTAATTACATTATCTACTAAGTTTCTTTCATAAATTATAATTCTTTTTGAAATAATAATGCAAAACGTGTTATTTTAGATACATTGTATTTTTAATACGCAAATCACTCCAAACTGACTGTTAAAGGTGTGAAAAACATATGGTGTCCGTATTCAAATTAAGTTTTGTTTTCTTTATTGTGATGCACTAGTTTTGGAGTTAATTTTATGAAAACTTATGGTTTGAGATTAAAAATGCAATTTCCTTTTGAAACATGATTTTCATGCATTTGCGCGCTTAATTTCTCGATTTTTAAGGTCAACGTATGTCTTTCAATAAAGAATTTAATTATGGAATGCGATGCTTTTCCTTTAATGGAGAGATCATAATTGTAATTCAGACAGCCTTAGAAATTCGTTCATGGTGTGTTTGTGAAATAATAAAACAAATCTGTTTGTACAGCTCGCGTAACTTTCGAGACATTTACTATGAATTACATCAACGATTTTTAATTAGCTAAGCCATCAAGCACTGTCTGTGGTAGGAGTTGAGAGGAAGTTCAACAGAAGAAACGAAAATTCTGAGGAACAAAAATATTAGCATAAATTTGTGAAGTACTTGTCTTCAGTAATCTTAACTGATAAACCAGTTCATCAAAATAACAATGTATCAAAATAACCAATCCATCAAATATCAACGTAATTTGATGCAACTAGCAATTTATGATCCAGACAGAAACTAACTAAAAAAATTAAAGCAATATTGAATAAAACCCAGTTAAAATATTCATTGAAACCTACAGCTTGTATAGAACGGCAAAAATTACACTAGAATCGCGTTGAATATTGGGAGCTCTAATATGCTGATAATAAAACCAGTAAATGAATTTTTAAGTACACAAGTCTTAAGTTCACAAATCTCACACAAAGAGTCTAATAATTGATAGGGCTTTGCCTAATAAACATAGGGATCAGGAATGGGCATAGGGATCAGAAATCAATTAATTTAGATAACTTATTCTCTAAAAATGAAGGAAATTTCAGGGTTATCTTAAGATTTCCATTCAGCCTGGGAACAAATACCTGGAGATTATTTACAAACTGCAAAGAAAAATGCTCTATGTACAAGTTTCATGATTCAAAACGAAATACCTGCGGTTATCTGATACAAACAAAAATTATAGACTATAAAATAATCAAACTATTTCTCAGTCTTGATTAATGAAACAACTAATGTTGCTACTGTTGAGCAAATGCCTTTCTGCCTTTGGTATTTTGAACAGGAGCAGATGAGGATTTGTGATTTTTTTTTTTTTTTTTTTTTTGCATTTCTTTCCAGTTACTTCTGCAGCTGCACAAAGTATTTCACATGCAATTTTGAAAACTTTGGAAGATTTGACTCTGGACGTCACATAGGTTAGAGAACAAAGTTATGATGGCACTTATGTTAGGTGTAGAGAGTTTAAGGGACGCAAGCATGCATTGCCAAGCATTAATCTAAAGCCGTTTATGTGCGTTGTATGTCACACTGCTTAAATCTTGCAAATCTAGATTCTTGTCAAGACATCAGAAATTGTTTTAGGATAATTGAAAATACATATTAATTCCTCACACCGCAAAGATATAACACGGGATATAAAAAAAGATCAATGAATTTTGCGCCAAATAGAAAAATTGCATTCAAAGAAGCTATGCCCTACAAGATGGGTGGAGAGGCATTATTGTATAATGATTATCGTTGAACTTTTGGATACTGTGTACGGTTTATTTTGATTTTCTAATAGTTATTTTTATTTTGGATTAAATCTTTCCTTTAGTTTCTCATTTTTCACCTACGTCTCCCTACCAGAAGGAATTTTCAGGATTTCGTTTTATGTAAATTAGGTAGAAAGAAGTATTTAAGTTGAAGTCTAGAGCACTTCACTAGAAGAGCTTAGAAGAGCGTAGATCGTGTGTCTGCCTTCCAGCCACGTTGTTGCTGCTAGTCTAATCTTATTGCTATTTGGTGGTATTAAATGCTTGCTAGATTTCGTCGGTGATCTTAATTAAGGGCAAATTCTGTTAGTTAATTCTGTGCAGCTTCGGCTGGTTTTTAATTTAGTTAATATTAAATTAGTTTCTTATTTTCTGTCTTGAGTTAAAGCCTAAGTCGAGGCTTATTGTAAGCCAGAGAAGGAGCCTTCTGTTCATTTACTTGAGTTGGAATAAAGGATAAATTTAACCCTTCTTTGGATTTGTTATTCACCAGAACGCTGAGATATGAGTCGCTGCACAGTTGTTAAGTATTCTAGATTTCAAAGAACACTAATTTAAGTTCCAAAGTTCATGTGTCGTACTTGCTGGCGGCTTATGGCGTACCAATTTCTCTCACTCATCGAACAGAAGTTTTCAGTTCATGAAAGATCTGAGAACGCGCTGTTTAAAGAAGGAACGAAAGGAAACACAGGAAAGTGGGCGCAACGTGCAGTCTCACAATATCGTATTGTAAGGTGGGATGACGAAGGCCCTGCAGACATGGCACTGTCACGATCCTTAAAACGTCACTAATGCATCAGTGGCTGGTCGAAGTATCGGAGATATTGATCAGGGATTAACAGGATGTGCACTTTCTGATATTCTGTACTATCGAACCAGGTGACAGGCTGACATGAGGTAAAAATCTTGAAGCTTCTAATATCCGTTTCCCTCGGAACCTTCATACATAGAAATAATACTACTCTCAAAAACAGGATTCAGAGAAAACGATATCACACCCTTCATGCGTACATGGGCGTCGTTGAACTCATCATCCTAGGCGCCGATTTCTTTTACGTAGTATCAAAAAAAGCCGAAGCAATGATCGTCTTGTTGACAATCTGTCTGTTGTAGGCGCGGTTGCACCGTGCCTGGAGACACATAATACTGTGCAACATATCCAATTTCCTGCCCTAAGATATGTTATAGTGTCTTTTGGGGGCTAGTTCTTTCTCTTTGGGAGCGTAAACTAACTAGATCTAAAACGACTGTATGAGGAATTATGCTCAGGTTTTAACACAACAGAAAAGTCAGAAGAAGGTGCAAAGGACCCTTTATTCAATATAATATGATTGCACAGATGGCTCCACTTGAGCTTACATAAAACCAACACATCTGCCTTAACCCAAACAAGTAACGTTGAACTTAAAATGTAATTAATCTAGTCTAACGGCTGACAGGATAATTTAACGCGCAGGAAAGTTCGTAGAAGCCTAATGGCTAATGGCTAGAAGCACTCAATGCCGCGGAATCAGATCTCTGGTAATTCAAAGTAACAACGTGGCCTTCGATCCACGTTTGTTACTTTGAATTACCAGAATAATAACACGCTCTAAAACTGAATAACACGCTCTAAAATTAAATTCCAAAACCTTTGCTTAAACAGCACTTCTTTCTCCCTTAATCTGAATGCACGCGAGCTATCTCAATCTCATTAGCATTCTGGGAGGAAAGCGCGGGTGAAAACAAGAGTGAAAGGAAATTTTCTTTAATTAAAACTTAACTGTTAGTCTAACTAGATAAATCTCCACAATGTCATATGGCAGTTCGGTCTACAGTGATGTGATAGCTGTTATCTCAGGCATTGGTGAGTGGGGCCCTTAGAGCTTCTAGAACTGCAACATCCATTAAAATTTACCATAACAGTGTCTGAATCTTGATCAACGCGAGCAAAAGTTACTTAATTCTGTAATCTGTAATCTGGGTAGGCAACAATTTACCCACGATCGCATTATGAAAAGTACAATCGTACTCCCATATCCGCTATTCTTAACAAAGGGAAGTCCTTTGAAGTTTCAAAATGCAAACCAAGTGATAAACAACATATGGCCAAATGTCAAACATAGCCCATGAAACAAGCTAAGTACTATATTCCTATAGTAATCATGGCTATATACATGTGCATATACATGATTACATGCATGACTATATACGTGAGCATACACTTTGCTAAAGGATTTAACTAAATGGAAGGGCGATAAAAATGGTTATCTTTGAAATCAAATGTGCGTTTATACTTTACAGGCAGCTCCTCTTTATTGCTGTTTTCTTATATGATCTTTCTCCCCCCCCCCATGACGGCTGCCAAAAAGTCAACAGGAATCAAAACATCTGACCCCTTCCTCCATGTGCACAGAGTTTCCTGTTAAACTTTTTTTACCTTTGCTAATCTTCCTGTTATCGTTAATGACATTTTAGCGCATATCTCATACTCAGAAATTAAAAAGAAAATATCCATTTATAATTTTCACGTCTGTAGTTTATTAAAAATTTTAACCCACTAGATACCAAACAAATAGAAAGAAGGAAAAAATAAAGAATAAACCAAAGTTATCACCCTTATATCAATATATAGAATTTTTTAATGCGACAGTTTTTTTCGTTCTAGTAAAAGAAATTGGAATGAAAGTTTTACTTGAAAAATATCTTTCGGAATAAAAAGGAAAGAGAACTTACTGTACTTTTTTCTTTCTTCGATAATCCGGTGGGATCCCAGAAAGATGTTGCACTTAGTTCAAATGAACGCGAAAAGAAATAATTCACCGTTTTAACTTATTTATCATAATTCTCATATTAAGTAACACATACTATATGCATTAACTGACTTGAAATATTTAAATTATTATTGCTTAACTGTTTATTGAACTTTATCTTTACTTCCCGTATAAAACCCCCAAAGAGGGCGTTTAAAACAATAAATTTGTTTTTTTAAGACATCACATTCATATAGAAGTGAGGTATTATTAACAGCGCACAGCATAACATAATCACTTTCTAAAATGTATATCTACTTACACAGTGGCTGTCCAAAATAATGAAAATATCATGCTTAGAAAGTTAATTTTGTTTTTCGCGATTATATAGTAACCGGCAGAAGTAGCCATAACTTTTTTTTATCATTGTTTTACACATCTTCT